TCTGACAAAAAACCAAATTTTCTTTTTTTTGGTGTTTGTGCTGTTAGTACAATTGGAACGTTATTATCTATTGTATTATTGTTGTTTATATCATCGGTCGTATTGTCATGTATACAATATAATGGATCACAGTTTTCTATATTGTCCGATTTTGAGCAAGTGTGGGAACTAACATTTGTAACGTTTGCAACATCTTCGCATGAACTCTTCGTTACATCACTATCAGTGGAAGCATTCTCATAGATAGTGTCATTAACGGTACTGCAGTTATCATTCTCATTGGTTGCGTCAATTGATGTGGGCATTGCATGCGAATCATTACAAACAAAAGGTGATTTAACAACAGAGTTCAGTGGCTGCAAATAATTCGTATTTTCTGGATCGTTTTCAAAAGGAGCTGTAACCTGTATTGGAATCAAATTCGATTCGGTTTCTAAGCGCGACGGAACCGCGAATGGATTCAAAGCGTGTCTGGTAAAGTTGACGAAATCTGTTTGCTGAAAATGGTCTTCGCATATAAATTTATTACGACACTCTTGTGTAACGTCAATGTCACAAATACTTTTCCATTTTATCGAAACGGCTGGGTTTCTCGAAAATCTATAAAAATGCTTATTTTTTATTTTTTTAGTCCCACGTTTGCACCAATAGTATGTATTGCCGCATCCCGGAAATTGGCAAGAAAACTTAAGTTGAGGAGCCATTGTAAAAATGTAAAGCTTATGCGAGAAATCAGGCCATGATTAATACAAAACTTACTATGCAACTTATCACAGCATATCTATATCACAAGTTTGTCAGTCTTGATTATAAACATCAGCCTTTCCCGTCGATGTTACATTATTTTTATTGGTGATAATCTGCCAACAAACTGCCAACCAACCGGCGTGAATCACACACACATTCCAGTTCGTTTCGTACCTCGGAACTTGCTATAAAAAAAACATGCAATTATTATAGAATGAATTTGAAACTAAAGAAAGGGCAATTCATTACAATTACAATTGCATAAATTACCACAATAAAATACATTCGTCAAACTCACCGTTCCAGCAAAAGAAACGTCTCCACGATATGACATTATCATTTTCAGAAATGTCCATCAAAAATAACATCTTCGGTCAGAATGAGTACGAAGTACCACACCTCTTGTGTAGCGGCAGCTTGAATAGACCCTACGAAATGAAACATCCGTACAAAATTTTCATTGCATCGATGAATTTTGAATACTAATCAATATTTCTTGTTATTTTTCTGGCGCGGCGTTAACAAAAACTCACCGTTTTAGCCTCTTTTGCTCTTTAACCCTCGCTTCTGTGCTCGACGGTGAATTCTCTGACCGAAGATGAATTTTCTCCATGTGAATCTCAACAATTTTAGGTTATTGTCGACAGTATTCGGCTCGCTACGCTGGTTGCGCGCGCATATATTTCCCCCGTTTTCGTTAGGAAGCGTGTCGCCCACTCTCCGATCTTACAATTAGTTTCAGCCCCATGCGTAGCGTCGCGGTCCTCCCCCTCCCCGCGCCCGCGCGGATCGCGTAGTGCTGCGGTCCTCTCCTCCCCGCGTCGCGGATCGCCGCGAAATATCTCCCTCCCCGCGCCTCCGCGGATAGCCAAGCGCTGCGGAATAATAAACGCGGAACTCCTCGACATCGATCACCTTGATAAGAAAGTCGTTGCCAGCAGTCAGGTTTCGGCGCTTGACCCGTCATAACAAGGAAAATAAGAATACGCGTCCAGGTGTTCGCGCTAAAAAAGAAACGATATCTGTTACAGTGACAGGTCAGCACCTAGATATCTGTTACATGTCACGTAGTGACAGGTCAGCACCTTGCGTGACGTCAAGGTCACGTACTCCCCCTCCTCCCCGCGACCCCCTCGCCTGAGCCCCCCTCCCCGCTCCCCCCTCGCCTGAGTTAGAATCCCCCTATATACCCTACTCACAATTTTGCCAGAGGAAAAAGTTACTTTTTTGGCACGAATAATCACGCTATGAATTCCGAATGTGCGAATTCTGAGACACCCTGTATAATAGTATTAAGAGCGTTGTAGTTGAATCAATGAAATATTTTTCAATAACACAGATGCTATTGAATCAACAGTTTTTTTCTCATTGTACCATATACCTACATTAGTACATAGTTTCAGTCTCACAATCAGTTCTGCGTTGTTACAGCGATGATACTATACATATGTGTCTAGAGCGATACAAGTTCTGTGTATTAATAATTTGAATGTACGTACATATTTATTTAATCTATTTATTTTATTAATATTTTTATAAGCCTTTTAGCATATAGTACACAAATCTGTAATTCTGCGTTTTTTTATCGTTTTGTACAGGGGTTCCCGATGGCATTTGACCACATGCCATGTATCGTTTGAATTAGTTTGATTGCACTTCATAAAGGCCAAACCCCATGGCCGAAACGTTGTGCTAATAAAGGAAGTTTGTCTGTTGCTAGTGGTACCGGTTTATTCACCCTAAATAATTTAAATTATCTTTCAAATGAAATCAAAATGATTGTAGTATGTTGATGTATGAATGTAGTACGTTCCATAGGTTTTGTGCCCCTACAGCTTCAATACACTCTCGACTTATATTAAATAGAGAGGAAATCTGTAAAGCGACCAGATCGCTCACTACTCAATGTCGAAAGTGTATTGAAGTTTGAGAGGCACATTTTGAGAACAATTAGTCTTTCACGTTTTTCTTCATTTTCCATTATTACAGTACTATTTTTGTTTAAAAATAAGAATCATTTTGTTTTTGAAAAAAGAGTGTTGTGCCCCGATTGCCGAAAGAGGTAACGAGGGCACTCAAGCAGTA